ACACCCATTACCCCCTAACCCCCGACCCCAGCAGTGGAACCAGGGCACAGCTGGAAGCTGCGAGAAAAGCTCCCCTCGGAACGCATGGATGATGGTGAATACTGATTCCCAGCCTCGTTTTGTAAACCCATCCAAAGGCAGTACTGACCCAGTGTCTGAGCTAAAGCAACTCCTTGGAGACACCGGTGGAAAGTACACCAACTCAGCCTTCAAGTTCCCACTCCCTCACCCCAGCTTGCAGGATGGTCGCAAGGGCAGCCTTACTGGGATGCCTCACATCAAGCAGGAGGTGGATATAAAGGAGTACCTGGGCTCAGGGTGTGCAGTCATGGGCCGGGAGGGGGTGGTAAATGGCCAGCAGCAGTTCCACGGTCAGCAGTTTTCCCCCACCATTAGGCACTCAACTCAGGCAGCACTACAGCAGCACCTTCATCATAAACGTAACCTCTTCTGTAATTCCCCTGCCTTCAATCCGTTAGCCCCCATGGCTTGTCAAAACCTTCGTAAGTGGTGGCCACAGACTATTCCAGAGGGTCCTGTAACCATCAAACAGGAGCAAAAAGAACCCAAAAAGAAAAAGAGCGCTCAGAGTTCTCCTCTTCTCAAGCAGCCAATGGGTGGGCTTTTTGGTCCACTGGGCACACCTCTTCCAAAACCCAAACAGATTGTTATCAAGAAGCATAAACAGAAAGCTTCCCAACCAACTTTCCTCCCACATAACCAGATTATAATATTGAAACCTCCCCTCATCTCCCCAGGATGTGCATCATCCCTATCTCAGCTTGCTCCATCTTTACCAGGCATGGAATCTGGGCTTCCCCCCTCTCAGGTGGCTGAGAGCCACCCAGCTCCAGCTCAGTCTCAGGAATCCATTTTGAATAGCAGTAGTGCACCTATCTCTGAAAACACTCTTTCTTGTTTTACTCCTGTGTCAGTCCTAGCACCATCCACCCAGAAGGTGATAGCTTGCTCAGGCCCAGCTGGGTCAAATGCTAGCATCCCAACAACCAGTATCACACCTCAAACCTCTACAACACAGCAAACTCCTTCTCTGGCTGGCCTTAGTAACCTAGATCCAAAATTTGAAGAGCTGATTCGCCAGTTTGAGGAGGAGTTTGGGGACACCATTTCCTCAGCTTCTGCAGCAGAGACCCCAGAGAATGGCCCTGCTCAGCCAGTGGTGACCGAGTCACAATCAAACTCAGGACAAACCAGACCCGAGTCACCATCCCCAAAGCAGCCAAATAACCGCCCTCCTTTTCCCTCAAATGATTCTGACCCCATGGATGAAGGTCAAAAGGACATGGCTGAAAGACTGAAAGTAAAAACACCATTGCCATCTGAGGAGCTTTGTACTATTAAACAGGAAAGTGAGGAATGTGAGGTGGATGTGAAACCTTCTGGGCAGCCCCTGTCTGTAGCTCAGGATGCATTTCTGGAGCGACAGCACCCCTTCATCACACCTTTCTCCCCTCCATCTAAACGTATAAAGATTGAGTCATCTGGTGGCGTAACAGTGCTCTCCACAACTGCATGTTTGTCTGCAGACAGAGAGAGGGCTGATTTGAATACTCCCACCAAGGATATCTTTCCCTCCTCGCCTTCACTTAAAGGTTTTCTTGAGTCACCATTGCGTTACCTGGACACTCCTACTAAGAACCTGCTAGATACACCTGGGAAAGATGCCCAACCTGAGTTTCCCACCTGTGACTGCGTAGGTAAGTGAGAGAATTCAATCAGCAAAATATATTGGAGCAATTTGGGCAAGATAACTCATATTCTCAAACAGAATAAAAAAAATCACAAAAAAATATGTAATTTGAACTTTTGTTGCAGTATAGCACATCACACCACCCCACATCTCCTCACATTCTACTGATCATGAGACCCACTTAGCTAACTCCCCTAACCCTCTATTATTTACAATTTTTAAACACAGCCTTTTTTTTTTAACTCCGTTTATGTTTAATATAGTTTAGCTTTATTAGTTTCCAGTGTATGTTAAAATATTTCATTAGACTGTAATATAGACTAAATTGATCATTAGAATTCCCTTCAGCAAGCCCCAAATGTTTCTTTCATCATATAATTTCTGCATCAGCACATTTCTCAGGGTAGTGTTGGGCCATGTCTGAGAATGCCTGCTCTATCAGGGGCCCGTGCATTGCATTGCAGTCTGTTCTCTGTGCCTCTTGCAGAGGAACAATAGATTTGAAGAAAGGAGCCCATTGTAATTCTTTGGGCCAGTGCAGTGCACCACTTTCTGTCTGTTCAGGCTGTTGGTACAGTGAGTACAGCTAGTTTCTGCAAAGGAGGCAGTCACAATGAAGAGACTCTGCTCATATATCGTATGATATACTGTGGCCAGACATCAAAGAAGGGAGGGAATAGGGAGGACAGGGCGAGAAGAGATGGACTGCAACCTCTCAGCTCAGGCCTCATATCTCTTACTGTGTCATTTCAGAGGTTTTGGTTGTGTGAAATTTGTATTATACATTTGATATATAAATATCAATATTCTTTGACAAATATAAAATAATTTAAGAAAGTGTTCATTCAAGGATAGTAAGCTATGCCTGAACACTTGTTGGAGCTTGACTGTTACCAAGAGCAAAGGACAATAGAAGGGAGGTTTCCATAGTGAATCCTTACAGCACTCTGTCAACACCACAGGGAACACCCAGTGTAATTTGATACTTACAAACACACTCAAACCTGCCCCATATGCAGTACCTTCAGCAGTTATACAGTCTAGGGCTGTCAAAATGGCTGAAAAACTAAATTCGAATTTTGTACTTAAATATTATATTCAAATTTAAAATGCATAATTTCAGTTAGGGTGAAGAAAAGCTTTTGGCTTCTCTCCTGATGCCACAAGAGGGCGTGTCGACCAATGCACGTTTATTCAAAGCATATAAGATAACATGACTATCTGTGAAAAAAGTGCATAATGTTTAAAATGTTTATAATCCAATTATAATGAATTAAGTTGCTTTTAAACAACTATAAACAAAACAGCATCATGTATAATGTATTCATATTTTAATACAAAGGACCGAAAGCCAATCACACAGATTACATTTTTCATTTAAAAACACGACTTGCAGTGGGATGGGAGAGAAAACCCCACCATAAAGTCTCGAGATATGTTTTTTCAAAGTTAAACTTGCATTAATTTTACATGGCTTTCTAAACATGCGGCTCTTTTGTGCGAGACGTCCTTCTAGAAAATGTGCAAAATATGTGTTCTGTGTGAACGGCTTGGTTTCAGTTTTGACGTAAACAAGATCTTCTCCGCATTGATGTTCTCTTTTCCCGCAATATTTGTAATTAACAACGCAGCAGCGCGGCATCTAGTGGCTTCAACTGGATAGGCTAACAAAAACATTATAATGCAATGACACTTACATCGTCATCGCATCTCGTGCGCCACTGATAAGGCTGCCTCCTTAACGCACACCTAAAATTTGAATGCAACGTTTTTGCATTCGAATGTGGATTTTTATTTTAAATTCGACGAATATTCGAAATTCGAATTATTTTTTGACAGCCCTAATACAGTCTTAATATCGATTCTGACATGTTAGAGAGAGAATATATTTAGAATATATTTTTATGTTAGAGACAGAATATATTTAGAATATATTTTTGTTTTCTTTTTTCTGTCATAGTTTGTGCTTCTCTATGTAAAGCACCCAGTTTTTCCCATGCTGTTAGCTATTCTTGCATCAATTGTTGGTATTTTACCCTGCTGAGTAAGCAGGTAGTAAGTAGCCACTAGATGTTTTTCTTCTCACAAACACTTTTTCTGTAAGATTTACCTAGGACGTTCCCACAAATCTTTTCCTGACTTTAGTCACGCCTTTATCCTTTCATACACCCTGAGTGGAATGTGACCTTAGATTGCCTCTTTCCCAGACAAGCTCTCTGTCCCTTCCTCTCTCTTGCTCACCCACACACGACTGACTCATACTATCATTCTAATGGCATTACACATTTGCAGTCTAAACTGTTAATATCATTTGGATTATTAGCCATTGTTTTATAAGAGTGTGTCCATGCTTTAACCTGCATTCACTTTCACTCTCTGTCTCCCATAGATCAAGTCCTAGAAAAGGATGAGGGTCCATATTACAATCACTTGGGATCTGGGCGAGACATTGCTTCAGTCAGACAACTAATGGAAGAGAGGTGAGAGGCACCTGTCAGATGTCTGAATTATTATTGGTTCAGATAGCATTCCATAATGTCACCTTCTTCAGTGCTCTTGATGTAGGCATGTTCATTTGCAAACACAACCAGCAGTACATGTAAGGGCCATGTGGGATCATTCTTTAAAATCAAGTTTTTATTGAGCCAAATAGGAAAATCACAAAAACTAAATGAAGAGTACCTATTGGATTCTTTCTTTACTATTATAACAGTGTAATTAGCTGGAGAAACTATTTTGAAGGTTGGATTTAAAGGTCAGTCTGCTTGCTTTTCTGTAGCAATCGCCTTTTCTGTCTTGTCCCTTTTTAGTAACGTTACCAAAAAAAAGTAACTGGAAGAAGAATATTCTCATACACATACAATGAGTAACAATCAGACAAACTCAAGTGAAAATCCATTTATAGATTAAAATATATTTTTCTACTGTTTGAAACAAAGTATTAAACTTGAAAAACCACAGAGGAATACTACTGACTAGGGTTGTAATGATATACCGGTTTATCACGGTTTATCCGTTTTATCTACTGCATACTGAAGTACGCATACATAAATGGTGTTTTCAGCGTCTAAGATACATAAACATGAATGTCAGCAGAGCTGCTCTGAGAAAAAACGTAAATAAACATTTCCTAGATTTATTTGAGAAAAACCATGGTCAAATACACTCTGAAACTCAAAGGTCCGCTACAACCCATCAAAATAAAAGTTTGATTTAATTTGAAATTATGACAGAAATATATTAGCATTGTACAATGTACTTCAAAGTTATAGTAACAACAATAATAATATTCTTTATAATAAAATAATGTTTTCAAGGATTATCATGTTTGTCTATGTTTTAATTTTGCCAAAAATAAAAGGAGTTGTAAATTTTCATTTGATAACATTTTAAAACATTAATTAAAATGTTTTAAAATGTTAAAGTGTGATATAGATATACATAAGGTGTACAGCTTTATTTTTTTATTGTTTTTTACATTTATTTATTCAGAAGGGAGACTTCAATACTTTCATTAAAATGGTTTCAAGTTTGTTGTAGTAAAGGATTTGTTCACTCAAATAACCTGTTCTTGTTCTTTTAAGAGTCATTGTTACTGATAAGAATTATTGTTTAATATATACCGTGATAACCGTGAAACTGTGATATTTTCTGAGACGATTATCATACCGTGAAAATCTCATACCGTTACAACCCTACTACTGACCCCACATCATTTGCTTTAAGAGATCCCTAACCACCATGTCATTGTTCTGCGAGAGTTCTTTGGAAGCTCTGGCAGTTGGATCCTGGCAACAGATTCTTAACCAGCTGAGGATAAGCATCTCTCTATTCTGCCATTTGTTCTCCCTTCACCCCCTCCTCCCACCTTCCTTCTCTATGATCTTGTCCCCAGGGAATTTCTGACCCAGAATCCAACAGGAGTAACAGGAAATATCAGCATCAGCAGATCCACACAGGGGAGAGACAGGGAGACAGACAGACAATGAATAAAAGGGGAAGAGAAAAAGAATTTAGAGGAAATTAAAGAAGTAGGAGGTGAAGTGATGAAAACGGTGGGGTATATATTAAACTTTAAGCAATGAGTATCCTTTAGGTTTTTCATTTGGATACACGGGGCATAAAGGAAGCCAGATTTCCTTTACAGCAGTGCTGTCATACAGCGTAAATTTGTTACAAATGTATATACTGTAAATCAAGTTAATTTACTATATATGAGAATACTTGACACATTCCCTGAGGTCTGAAAACTTTATTTTCTAAAAACGTAATAATCCTATGATCATTGAGAAGTGTAGAGGAATATGAAAAGCTCCACAGGGTGTTGACCCCCTTTCCCCTGTAAGCATACAGAAGCTAAGACTCTGTTGACCCATTTGGACAGAGTATCTCCACCTTTGCTGACCTCTCGTACACTTGTCCACTCTCATTGCTTTATTTGAGAGCTGATTGAGGGCATAGTGGCTGTATTTCTATAGCCTGAGTCATCTCCTCTGAGATAAAGGGGGAGCTGGTGGGTAGAGGAAGAACCTCCCCTTTGTTTGTCCGTCAGAAAGTGACTATAGCCTCCTTAAGCCTAAGCCTGACCCTTTTGTGGCCTTTGACCTCATAGCCCACTCCTGTGGATCTTTGAAGCTTCTCCCCCAACCTGTGTAATTATAACTGAACAGTATTATACTTGGCACATGCTGCTGTCATACTCGTGCACTGAGAGTTTCATTTGACGAGACAAGCAATTGTTGACTGAGAACATGAAGCCATCATATGCAAATGTGTGTAAACTTTAGGACTGAGTATCACCAACTACTTCAATATATGACACACATCACATTACATGTGGAACTGTTCAATACATTGATGTATCACACATAAATCAATCATTTCTAAAGCTTTACCAAACTCAAAGCTTTAACTTAAATGTGCTGTATTTAATTTTTTGACTAAAGCCTATATATATCTGCAAACATAATATGTTTGCAGATATTTAGGAAACATGCCAAGTTCACATATTAGTTTCTCCGAAAAAACAACGCTGCAGCTACAGTTATTCTGCTTTGAAATGAGTGTTCCATGTCAGAATGTCTGTTTTTGTTTTGGTCCGTGTGACTCCATCCTCTGCCAGTTTAACCAATAGTATTTCGTCAGCCCGGGTTTCCAGTTGGCTGAAAACACAGGGCATTGCAGGCATTGAAACTGGGGTCAGAGATCACAGATTCTACCTAACCTAAAAAGCCTCAGCATCCATATAAAAAGCTCTATGAGCAGAGGCATATTAAACACACATAAAACAACTCATCACCTTACACTGTAAGACTCGTTGGTTGTCAGTTGTGCTCATTCCTTGTTGCATCTGGCTACCCGTGTGATTGTCGATGAGGGGAGGGAGAAACAATGCTCTCCAATATTTTGAATTTGGACTGCAATACCCCTTTCAACCTCTAGCTGTCAATACTACATACTGCACCTTTAATTCTTGATTTGATTTCTACATACATGCACCCAAAGCTGTATTAAGTATAAAGTGACTTAAAATGTGTCTTCGTTAAGATTGAGGTGGGTTGCTGCTTTTCCATGTTGCAATTTCAAACTGTAATTTGAGTTTGTCACTCAACTTCTGTCCCCTCGTTATGACAGATATGGGGAGAAAGGCGAAGCCATTCGTATTGAGAGGGTGGTTTACACAGGGAAAGAAGGAAAGAGCTCTCAGGGATGTCCTATCGCTAAGTGGGTGAGTGTGCAAAAAACGAAATATTTCTAAAATCAACTAAGCATTGGGTTACCTGAATGATTGGATGACTAATCAGGCTTAAGGAATACCCATATAATTAGGCTGGTGAGGGGTTCACCTGAACCAAATGGGCATGTTTCTTAACGCCTTCTGGCATTCAAAAACAGCTAGTTGGAGTGCACTGATTTTAACTTAAAATACCACAAGACATGAGACAGCAGTCAAAGTAGTACCACTGAATGATTACATTGTGATTTCTGCTTTGCTGCAGTATACACAACTACAACTTAACATCTATCATATGCATTTATCATTGCTGATTGTCTTTCTCTTTGTAGGTGATTCGTCGCAGCAGTGAGAAGGAGAAATTGTTATGCGTTGTGAAGCAACGGCCTGGGCACCACTGTGTCAATACTGTTATTGTTGTTGTCATCCTGTGCTGGGAGGGCGTGCCCCGTGCTCTGGGAGATAAACTCTACAAAGAAATAACAGAAACCCTCATCAAATATGGCAATCCCACCAGCCGCCGCTGTGGACTCAATGATGAGTGAGTTATGAACACAACTGAGGTGTTTTTTGAATTTTTATTTGTGTCTTTGAGGTAAAGAGGTGACAGGAACTTGTATTTTGTGTGGACTAATTTGGTTGATGACTGTAATGTTGGACTTAATGTGGGTGTGATATATTGATGCATTGGTCACATATTGGGTGATTTACAATTTCTTTTGATGTGAATTATAACCTGTTTACATTTTTCAAGAGTTTTCAGTATCATATTAAAATAATGAAATAATAGTTCATGCAAATCACATTATTGACTAATATAAATTCCGTTTAATCACACACTTGCATAAAGCAGATCCTGTAATCAAATGTAATCATACATGCTCCCTGTACAGTATGTATCTTTCGTAAGACTTATGAAAGCTCTCGATGCTGGTATCTAATGACTCTGTAATGTATTGTTTTCACAAAGCATGATTTAAGGAATAGACTCAGAGGATGTCATCTATTGTTATTCAATTAAATTCATGGTGGATGCCTTTTGCAGTCGAACCTGTGCATGCCAAGGGAAGGACCCAGAAACCTGTGGAGCTTCCTTCTCTTTTGGCTGCTCCTGGAGCATGTACTTCAATGGATGCAAGTATGCTCGAAGCAAAACCCCTCGCAAGTTCAGACTGCATGGAGACCACCCCGAAGAGGTTAGTGTCACATAAAGAAGGCAAAAATAATTTGCTAATGTAATTGGTGTTTTTTTTTTTTTTTTACAAGCCTAATAAAAATAACTGAGGGTAATTTTACATCACCCTAGCTTGCTCTATTATAATTGTATTAAATTATATATAATAAACTATTTTTCAAATCAAGGTTTAAATATGTTTAAATATGAATGGAATAATTTACAACTACATTTTTCTATGATTATAATTAAACAGTGTGTGTTGCATTTTGTTTACTCACCGAGATATGAGTTGACATCTTAAGGTTTTTAATTTAGTATCTGCTCCCGTCAGTGTTCTGGTCTGGGTGCCATCCAAATGCTACACTCTACACTCAATTTACAGTAAAAGCATTTAAAGTCGTTGCCGATGCAGATGAACTTGCACCTTATTTACTAAATGTGACCCTAGACCACAAAACCAGTCATAAGGGTCAATTTTTCTAAATTGAGATTTATACATCATCTGAAAGCTGAATAAATAAGCTTTCCATTGATGTATGGTTTGTTAGGATAGGACAATATTTGGCCGAGATACAACTATTTGAAAATCTGGAATCTGAGGGTGCAAAAAAATCTAAATATGAAGAAAATCGCCTTTAAAGTTGTCCAAATGAAGATCTTAGCAATGCATATTACTAATCAAAAATTAAGTTTCATATATTTACAGTAGGAAATTTACAAAATATCTTCATGGAACATGACCTTTACTTAATATCCTAATGATTTTTGGCATTAAAAAAAATCAATAATTTTGACCCATACAATGTATTTTTGGCCATTGCTACAAATATACCCCAGCGACTTAAGACTGGTTTTGTGGTCCAGGGTCACAAATAGCGTTTTGCCGCATATTTCTATTATGAGACTTTTTGGTTATAAGATTTTCCAGTTTTATGGAAGTCATCATCTTTTGATATTTTAGTCAATGTCAGCTGGGCTATTGGAGACAAATAGGGAAAGGGGAGTTGACTTCAGTTATTTGTTTTACTCATATAAGCTGTTGTACAATTCTGAGTCACTGTTAGTCTATCCCAAACCCTGACTGTGTGAACATAGCCCTTTACTCTTCATGATAGCCCATGTAAACTCATTTGAATTATTATTTTTTTTTTTGTACAGGAGGACAATCTCAGGGATAACTTCCAAAACTTGGCCACACATGTGGCCCCTGTGTATAAGAGGCTGGCTCCCCAGGCCTACAGTAACCAGGTTTGTTTTTTTAAATTTCAGTACACAGTGTACACCATTCAGGCACATTAAACCAAAAAGCTTTTCTGGTAATTGTGGACTTGTAGGTTTGGTGGGGTTTCAGGTGATCAAGAAGTTTATGAATTTAATGCTTCAGAACTTTATTTTTATATAGTGAATTACGGTATTAGGAAGTGTTAGTAAAATAAATAAAAACTGAAATAATCATTTGTTAATTGAAAATAATTATTTTCTTTTTCTGTGTTATTCAGTGTTTAAATGAGAAGATTGCCTCAGACTGTCGGTTGGGTTTGAAGGAAGGACGGCCATTTTCAGGAGTCACTGCATGCATGGATTTCTGTGCCCATGCTCACAAAGACCAGCATAACCTCCACAATGGCTGCACTGTGGTATGTTATTAATTATCATTTATGAATATATGTATCTGTGTAAATAATGTGTGATTATACACAGTATATTTTTTATAATACCCATTTTATTTATGTATGTATGTACGTATGTATTTTTATGTAGGTTAGGCTTTTGCATCATACTTATTTTTAAGTGAATGCTCTCCAGGGCTGTACTGTGGTCACTGCCTGGGGACTACTATGTGTTGTAACTTGTTCTAATTTACCATACATTGCAAATTGTTCCTGTACTTATAAATTAAAAGGATACACTGGTCGAAATTAGAATTGTGTTAATGTACAATAGGCAGTAGGAGATGTATCCGATATATGGAATTAATTGCTATTTACTTTAGCCTTACAATTCCTAATTTTGTTACTTCCAGGTGTGCACTCTTACGAAAGAGGACAATCGCAGAGTGGGCACAATCCCAGAAGATGAGCAGCTGCATGTGCTTCCGCTCTACAAGATTTCTTCAGCCGATGAATTTGGAAGTGAGGAGAACCAGCGTCTCAAAATGCATACAGGAGCCATCCAGGTGCTCACTAACTTCCGTCGACAGGTTAGAAAACTTCCAGAACCTGCTAAATCCTGCCGGCAGCGTCGGTTGGAGGCCAAAAAGGCTGCATCTGAGAAGAAGAACAGGAAATTGCAGCTTGCAGAAACCCCAGAGAAGACTGTCAAGATGGAGATGCACCACGTGGAGTCACCCCACCCTCAGCAAAGCAATAAAGGTCAGTGGTTAAATATTAGTTTATCTCTATATACATAAACCAGTTTATGTAAAATTCTAAAAGGGAGTTAAAATAACTACCGGTTGTTTAAAGTAAAGGACAAACCATTAATTTGGCTGAAGTGGGAATATTTTAGAGATGTGCTCTTTGGACTCTGTAGTGCCATTATTTGAATGTAATTCACCATTACTGTTGAAGATTTTAAACTTGAGATCTTGTCTTATAAAATTGAAACACAAAAACTATAAAATGTATATTTACTATATCATTTTTTTCTTGTTTGTCTGTTATCTAGCTATTCCAAAACAGGAGGTGAAACCAACCATCAAAAAGCCTGTCGACCACTTCCAGCCCTTCAATGGAGCCATACATGGCTACCCAGCACTAGGGAACGGCAAGACAACCTCTGATCCACACAGCATGCACAGTTCGTTGTCATACCCTGGAAACTATGCAAGAGGTTGCATCCCTACCAACAGCCAACCTCCTGCACAAAGCCCCATCAATGGCTTTCACCCCAACCTCCAAGAAATATGCTACGGTTATTACAACTACCCTCCCAGCGCACTTTTTCCTCCTGAGCTCTTGGGATATGATAATGGAGCCTGGCCCAAAGCTGGAGAACCCTCTGCCACACCATTTGACCAGAAGCCAGATGTTCAGTGTCTTCAAGCCAAACTGGCACAGGCCTATCCCAGCCGTCCTGTGCAGTTACAGCAGCAAATGGCTGATGCATCCGTTCAAGGCTTCCCACACCCTTCTGAGGTTTCCCAGTCTACTGCTCCACCCAGTCGTACTCCATCACGTGAGCAAACACACCGCTCTACACCTATCATTAAGCAGGAGCCCATGGATGTGCCCCTATATGATGGCAGATCGGATGGGCAAGCTCAAAGCTGTGGAGAACCCTCTGCCACACCATTTGACCAGAAGCCAGATGTTCAGTGTCTTCAAGCCAAACTGGCACAGGCCTATCCCAGCCGTCCTGTGCAGTTACAGCAGCAAATGGCTGATGCATCCGTTCAAGGCTTCCCACACCCTTCTGAGGTTTCCCAGTCTACTGCTCCACCCAGTCGTACTCCATCACGTGAGCAAACACACCGCTCTACACCTATCATTAAGCAGGAGCCCATGGATGTGCCCCTATATGATGGCAGATCGGATGGGCAAGCTCAATGCTGCCCTAGCACTCCCAGTACCACGCCAAAACCTAAAGGCTGGCCTGGGCACAAACCAAACGGCAGCCTAGTCCCTCAAGGCTGGGATGGAAATATCAGACCAAGTCCAACTGATTTGCCTTTCACTCCGGACAAGCAGAGGCTCCACCAGCAACACCCACACCAACATGAACACCCTCAGTATCTGCAGCAGCAACAATGGAATTCCTATTCCTGCCCTAACACTCCAATGCCATCCCCTGCCCCATCTCCGTCCCCATCCCTAAAAGCAGGTCCATCACCTGCACCCTCTCCACATCCGTCCACCCCAAGACAGTGGGTTAGCCCTGCCCCTAGTCCACAACCTAAAGCATGGGGTCCTTGCGGACCCATAGGTTACGGTACTGGTTGTATAAGGCAAGGCAATCCTGCTGGTGCTCTCCCTGATAAAATGCTTTCCCTAGCAGGTGAGAATTGTGGGTCTGCACCTCTGGGACTCCAGGAGAAAGCCTGGAAATCTGGTGGTGGATCAGCAGCAGGCAGCACACCCTCTCCGGCTCCTGAGGGACGCTTGTTTCCCGATGCACTGCAAAAGTCGGATGGTCAGGCATGTTGGGACAGTGAGGCAGAGACCCAGAGTGAACGTGACCCTGAGGAGGAAGAGGTGTGGTCAGACAGCGAACACAACTTCTTGGATCCCAACATTGGAGGAGTAGCAGTGGCCCCTGCTCATGGTTCTATCTTGATTGAGTGTGCCCGTCGGGAGCTCCATGCCACCACGCCACTTAAAAAGCCTGACCGCTCTCACCCAAGCCGCATATCCCTGGTCTTCTACCAGCACAAGAACCTGAACCAGCCCTGCCACGGTCGGGCTTTGTGGGAATCCAAGATGAAACTCCTGGCCGAGCGAGCACGACAGCGGCAACAAGAAGCTGCTCTTTTGGGTCTCTCACAGGAAGATCTTAAGGCCTATGGGAAAAAACGCAAGTGGGCGGCTGGATCAGCGAGCCCATCCCCTGGACAAACCAAGGACAAACGAGAGGGTGTGATGACACGGATGGCGCCCACACAGCATACCACCACCCTAGTCACAGTTTCACCCTACCCATCCACACACCTCACTGGTCCTTACAGTCGATTTGTGTGAACGCTTGTAGACTGTTGCCCCCTGGAGCCAGAGATGGGAATAAAAATGATAAGGATCATTTTACTCCTTTACCATTTGCTTCCCCTCTTCTAGCTCTAAAACCTCTCTCAGGCCACCACAAGGGAGGGAGAATAGAGGAAGGGGCACTTTTTCACTTTTTTTCTTTTACCTCAAATTTTGGCAGCAGTTTGGGAACTCCCCAAACGGACATGCTGTCTATGGTGCTCTTGCTCTCTCCAACGTGGGAGGGATTTCCATAGCTACCCCTCCTGAAGTGAATTTGATGATCCTAATTATTATTGCTCTATTATCAATATTATTACAATTGCTATTGTTACTGTCAACGTTGATATTACAGGTATTGTTATTATATAATGAAGATGACTATTTTTTATTTTAATGTTACTGTTTTTTTTTTTTCATCTTTGTTATTAATATTATGATTTTTAACCCCTCTTGACTAAGAGGGACTTCTTTTCTTCATTCTTGCTTGTTCATTATGAACATGAGAACAAGCTAATCAGCATTTTTGTTGCGCTTTCCGCCTCTCCCACCCCCACGAACCTCTCTATTAATGAAGCGCCATCACATCATTGTAAGTCACATTTATGACTGCATCAAGGCATATCTAGAGTATTTGCTCATTGCGCTAGTCACTGAACACGTGACCAAGAAAGAGAGGACCAGACACCAGCTTGGGCCTTTCTGTTTGGTGCCACTCTAATGAAATCTGTAAAGTTTCTCATCCCTTCAAATGGTGCTTCTTTTCTGTCTCAAGTGTCTCTAAATTTGCCCTCACAATATCGAGGCAGGTGCTGGACCTGGGTGCTCTTTAGCAGCAGATGTCAGTCATGTTTAGTGGCAGGGACCTCCCAGTCCCGATGATGGCTCAGCCTTCCATCATGCCATCTGATTGGTGCTGACTCATTTGTCTGCAGTTTCATTGGCCATTCTTCACTACCCATGTGACATTTTTTAGACTAAGTTCTCTAAGGTGCTGATAGTGCTAGCAAAAATCCACCTTAATCAAACCGCCCTAAAGAGCTGCTGATAACCGCCCATGGGTCTTATGCTTATGATTTCCAGAATCCAGACTCAGCTCAAACAGGGAATTCTAAAATCATCAGCCAATTTTTATTGGCTTAAAATTCTGCAATCTCTGCTTGATTCACTCTAGATATGTTCAGATTGACTGTAAAGCGGAGACTTTGAGCTGCAGTAGGTAAGAAACCATTTAGTTTTTTTTTTTTAATAATGACTTGCTTCAAAATTGCCATTATAAATGAGTATCTATAGGTTTGTAACATCAGTGTATCTGGTTGGTTTCAGTCAGAAGATCTACACAGGGTACAATCTAGAGGGGGACTTTCTTATGCTTATGATTTCCAGAATCCAGACTCAGCTCAAACAGGGAATTCTAAAATCATCAGCCAATTTTTATTGGCTTAAAATTCTGCAATCTCTGCTTGATTCACTCTAGATATGTTCAGATTGACTGTAAAGCGGAGACTTTGAGCTGCAGTAGGTAAGAAACCATTTAGTTTTTTTTTTTAAATAATGACTTGCTTCAAAATTGCCATTATAAATGAGTATCTATAGGTTTGTAACATCAGTGTATCTGGTTGGTTTCAGTCAAGATCTACACAGGGTACAATCTAGAGGGGGACTTGACTAACTGGTTCCCTTAGTTACCTATGGGATTCCCAACACAACCGCCCCTGTACAAACTGAGCATGTCTTCCATGTCCTGATTTATCTGTAGTTATCAATTTGTGATGACTATTTTATTCGAAGTTGTTATTTTGGGGATATTTTCTTACCCACTGCTGGTTAAACCCACCAGCCTAATGGAAAAGAGCACATTTCTTGGTGTTGGTGCTACTATGAGTCTTTTATGCTCCTGTAAAGTTTCCCCTCTCATTATAAGCAGCCCTCTTCTCTTTTTTTGCCCTGAGAGATCATCCACACCTGGAATTCTTGGTGCTGATTGGCAATGCGTACAGCTTCAGCTCAGTTGTTTGTGCGAGCTTATGTATAACTACATAATACGTGTGTGTGTGTGTTTGTGTGCACGTGTATGGATTCCTAAACATGCACGCTGGTTAGAATGTACGTGTGCCAGTGTGAATGCCTGTCTGTGAGCTACATATAGAGAGCAATGCAGGGCTGCTGCTGGTTTACACAGGGCTGTAAGGTGCTTGCCACTCACAGAGGAGAGATCCTGGTGCTCATTAAGTGGTCCTAAAGCTCTTTACCTCATGTTGTACAGACACTGGTCCCAGTCACAACATGCTACAAACACACGGGCGCTACAGACTGCAGGCTTGCTGCCTACATCCACATTCGTACCTATTTTTTTTAAAAATTATTTATTATATGATAATGATGATGATTATTGTTATTGTGATTGCTGTCATTTTATTTTATTTTTTTGGTTTGATCATTTTAACGAAATTGTAAATATTGAAGAGAGGATTTTATAAAAGCACTTTTAATCTTGATTTTAATGAGGAAAAAAAATAAGAACGGATTATTGACAACTTGAAAACTAGTTTTTGTTTTAATGGAATTTTATTGGGAGAGATAGAAATGTAAATAGTTAAATATTTAGGTAAGATTATTTAACTGGTGAGGGATGATGGCCTAATCATGAATGATTCCTGAATTTTAGGTCTTCAGTTGTCTGTATGTCAAGCCGTCAACAACAGACCAACAAAGCAGGATGTTTTGTCGGGTCTACTCAAGATACTGCTGTCCTTCCTTTCGTGAGTACTGTACTTCCATCAATACCTCTGTACTACCATTGTCACCGGCTTCCTTCCCCTGCATCTGATCCACATCTATAAACCATAAACTAATGGAGAACAAAGAAACGAATGTGAACATGTTGACTAATACAGTTCGCAAGGATTCAGGACTCACTTTTTGTTTTTAATGAAAGGGAGTGAAAGTGCATCACTTTTACATGAAAATTGCCCATAGAACCGAAAAGAGTATCAGGTGTAAACTTGCAGTTTGAAATGTGACCGCTTTCAGTTCAAAACTCTCGGTAGATCATGTAATGCTTGTTATTTTGGTTTATTTTATTAAATATTGTGTGGGGTGAGTCTTACAGAGCTCTGAGTCTGCACTTTCATTATATTATCTAGATTGTCACTTGTTCTTGGAAATGTGAGACATACCCCTGAGGTTTAAAAAGCTGAGTTTCAAGACTGCTCTTGAAGCCCACTGCAGTTTTATTCTCCCTAAATGGCTTTTGAACCATGGTGCTACTGAGTTCACTGTGGAAAAGACTCTCGGCAAACACTGTTGCTACAGTTCTCTGGCTCTTAAATTGATATGTGAACTAGTTTTGAGAGGAAACCTATATGGTGCTGATCTTTTTAAATCTTTTTATGTAGTTATTTCTGAAACATTTCTGATGATCGCGATTTAAAAAAAAAAAAAAGCACTCCAACTGATCCAGTTTCCCTTTTTAGCCATCACCCTAAATAATTGAAATGGTACTTGAAGAGCATGATGACAGGCAGAGGAATAGGTACTCTCATGCTTTTGATGTGTATAGACTGTTAATTTAACATTCTGGTGCTACCTGAACCCATTCTGATATTTTATACATTTTGGCATTTTATTAAATATACTCGTTCTTTTTTCTTTACTCACATCTACCTTTTGGCCACAGTGTCACACAAATGCATACAAATACACACAAACACAACACTCTCACATACACACACACTACTCTGCCCCTCTATCAGCACTCACTGTTAAGAGTATCAATCATGCCCAGTTTTAAACATCAAAAGGACAAAATGTATAAAGAGGAAAAAAGAAAGAAAAAAAAACTGGCAGCTACATTCCTTTATGAGTTAAAGATTGTACTTAGTTCTATTTTTCATGTTGAGTATGCAGTATGTAAAAAGTGTTATCTTTTGTTTGGTCTCTCTCCTTGTAGCTGTATGGTGTATTATGTGAATACATAGTGTATGTGGTAAGAGCCACAATACTGTTTTATGTTCTAAACTAAGAAAAAATAAAAAAAAATCAAGAAAGTTTGTGGCAATGTTTATTCATTTGCTGAACCTACTGACTGCCAATTTTGACTTAATTCTGTTTATCACCGAAGACTCTACAAATTTGTTTTGCATGGGACATTAATTGTAAGACTAAAATTAAAACCAGTCAGTTTTAATGAGAAATGACTGAAAGCCTGTCCAGGGCTGCTTCTTTTTCTTTTTTCTTTTTTGGAATAGCAACGAGGTGTATTTTGCTACAAAACCACACGATGGCAACAGAGGTCCATCAACATGTATGCTCAGATCTATAAGTACATACCCGAATGTTGCATCGTTAAAGTGTTGTTGGGTAATTATTTATTACTAGGTGAAGCTGAACTTGTCTGGTTGTTAGTTTTGAGAATTTTAGCAGCAGAGTAAATATCAGAAATGCAATTTTTTCAAGAGGTGAGCTTTTCGTTCCATCAGAGACAAGAGTTTCTGTCGGAGTTCATATGGTTTGTTTGAATTCAGCCCAAACAATAACATTTTCTGAAAAAAATAAATAAATAAAAGGCCACAGACAACTTCCGGTTAATTTATTTGCACCTAATTGTAGTTTAGATGCACTTGTAGTTCTGCATTATATTATTCTGTCTGGAGGCCTTTGCCCATATTGTGTATCACTGTGTAGCATCGCCCCCTGCTGGACACCTTTGATATAAAATGTTGTACATGCTTATAGTCACAAATTTAGTTTTTTTTTTTTTTTTTTTCAATTGCTAACAAGCATTGTTCAATACTGAAGCCACAGAACTGTTCACACATTCAGCGGTACAGAAGTCTTTGCTAAAGAAACTGAATAATTTTTCATTGCTTTCAGACAAAATGCATTCAATGACCACATTTCTCAAAATGCACAAACACTTTTGTCATTCATACTCCACAACCTGCAAAACACTATATATTTTCAGTACATTTTTCAAATGCTAACACACTGCTTTCAAAACTGATAAAAGCACATTCAAATCAGAACAATGGTCCAAAATGTCATATACTTGCTAGCACATTATGAATTGAGTACCCCTAGATATTGACAAACATTCAGAATATAAGAGGAAATCATCTAAATTTGCACATTGCTGACATCAAAGAAAGTGAGAGAAATGGAAAGTTAATTGAGTTTATGTCCAGGGACCTTGCAGAGAGAAAAGAGAATAGCTTTCATCTATGAAAACGCTCAATATCTTTTCAGACCAAATTGAGCATGCTGTTGACTACAGGAGATCCTTTGATCTAATATTCATGTTATGAGCTGAGATCATCTATATAAATGTGGTTGCCTTCATTCACTATGTACAGTAAATCAGATCCCTTACATGATTTTCATTTGCTACCTTAATGAGTCTTGAACTAGACACATACTTTCATATCATCAGCACAGCAGGGTAAATTTCCATGTCCAAAAGTTTAATGTTTCATACAACAGTGAGAACAGTGTATGGTATATTTCTATGAATTTTGAAGCATTAGTGCTTCGACTACGATGTACAGAACAGGCAGGGAGATTGCATGGGTCTAAGTGGGACTCGAAACCGGGCCGCTGGCATGGGAGGCAGGCGCACTAACAAGTAGGCTAAAGACCACAGCCTCTCACTCACTAGTGTGCCTCTTGAGAACAGGGGAGTGAGGTTTACCTGCACAGCAACTACCAGCTGGCCTCCGTTACACATGTGCATGCAAATGACGATAACAGGTGCAAATATGCATACTAATATCCCTATTTGTGACAAGTGCACAGTGAAGGTCAAAGAAAAAAATGCAGCATGCACAACTAGATAGCTCCATGTACAGTAACTTTACTCAACTGTGCGATGAATGGCTTTTACCCCTCCTTCCTTTTCAAATGTAGTTTTCTTTCTATTTGTCAAAAGCGAATACATTTCTGAAAGTCTGAAATTGACCTATTCTGGAGACAAGCTCCTAGGAGAAAGAACATGGTCCTTAAAATTCTGAATGCAGAGAAGACTAGTGAAGGCCAAAGAGGCTTAAAAGGTATGAGGTAAAAAAAACTAGACTTAAATCCAGGGCTCTACGCTTACTTTTCTTTTTAGGAGCGCTTGTACATCCAAATAACCCACATAGCAAGAGTTCTCTCTGTCTGTTTTTGTATGTGCATTTTTTTGTTTTGTTTTGCTAGTCGGGCCGAATAAGTTTTCTAAAGCGT